TAAGTAAAACTTGCTCAGGGATTCTGGTCAGTGATGGCAGAGCTGGTTCAAACCTACCAGCCTCTTCCTCTAAAGCCTTTGCTCTATAGACTTAACTAGGCCACCCACAGTTTCCTAAACTGTAGGTTATGATGTTAGATTATGACGGGAGACTGGGTGGCCACTCAGAGTCAGCTGTGGGTGGGCAGTATTGACTTTACCTGGACTCTCATTCAATGCAGAAATATGGGCCTTGTCTAGAAGTTTAGATTCAACATTGTATCTTAATCAAGATTCCCCACCCATTGGCAGGATGGGTTCATTTGGGCAATCCAGTACTTGATCATAGGGTGTTTCTTTTCCATTCCCTAAGAATCCTGGGACCAAGAATCAAGAGGCAGGATGGAAAGCGTCTACCAGAGAACAGAGAACTAGGAATAGATCCCTTCCGTTTCTCTACAACTTGAGCCTAAGCCATACTTGTAAAAAACAAAACAAAACAAAACCAAAAACAAACAACTTTTATTTTATGTACATGGGTGTTTTGCCTGCATGTATGTCTGTGCACATCACGTCTGTGCCTGGTGCCCAAGGAAGCCAGAAGAGAGCATTCGAGGGACTGGAGTTACTGATGGTTGTAAGGTGCCATGTGAGCACTGGGAATTGAACCTGGGACCTCTGAAAGAGCAACAGGTAGTCTTAACCACTGAGCCATCTCTCCAGCCCTAAAATCATCCCTTCTTGAAATAAACCAGGCACAAAAATCTCACTCAGCAAGAGGGAGTCAATTAATGCATTATCCCTCCAGAGAGATAGCAGAGAGTCAGTGGTAGTTAGGCTGGGAAGGGCTACAGCAGAACATGGAGCTCACAGATCATGGCCTGGTAGATTTCCATGGAGCTTTCTCTAGATGAAGTCCAACAAGTGAGAAAGCCCAGGCTGGGCGAGGATCAGGCAGCTGACTTCAGCCAGAGATTACATTTAAAGGTTTTTGTCTGTGAAGCTGACTTTAAACAGACATGGATGCCTGAGTGATTCCTGTTTGTCAGGCAGTTTAGGATGCAGTGGTCCATGTGACTTCCCTTCAAGGTAGGATGATATATATGCACGTGTCATGGGCCAGGAGACTCACCAAGGGAACAGGAACACCACATCAGCCAAGTCTCAGTTTCCTGGGCTGGAGAGATGGCTCAGGGGTTAAGAGCACTGGCTGCTCTTCCAAAGGACCCTAGTTCAATTCTCAGCACCCACATGACAGCTCACAACTGTCTGTAACTCCAACATCTGACACCCTCACACAGACATACATGCAGGCAAAATACGAATGCAAATAAAATAAAAATAAATTTAAAAAAGTCTCAGTTTCCAACTCTCACACTATTAGCCTGGGAGACAACAAGGCAGAGAGTCAGACTACAAGAATCATGAGATCACTTACATGTGAAACAAGCTTGTTCCTTAACTAGAACTAATAAATAAATAAATAAATAAATAAATAAATAAATAATCCTGAGATCATGAATAGATTTTTTGTTTGTTTGTTTTTTTGAGATAGGGTTTCTCTGTGTAGCCCTGGCTGTCCTGGAACTAGCTCTTGTAGACCAGGCTGGCCTCGAACTCACAGAGATCTGCCTGCCTCTGCCTCCCAAGTGCTGGGATTAAAGGTGTACGCCACCAACGCCCATCTCGAGATCATGAATAGATCTTAAAACCCTGAGCTGCTGTATCCCCCCACCCCTGAAGTTCCTAGGACAGATCAGCCTGTAGCACAGCCCACCTTGGGAAGAATGTAGTTCAAGGACAGCATCTGGTGTGGACCAGTGGCCTCTGGCCTAGAGCTCTGATGCCCCAGCAGACCTGCCTGTGAGCAGGGCCAAGCACACCATCCCCATGGATCTCACAGGAGAAGCAAGGCCCTAGTGGCTCCTTATACTTTTTCATAAGGCGACCCTCCTGTGTCCCACAACGTCTGCAGTTCAGATCTCCAGGGCCAATATAAAAAGCTGGGCCTATGATCCCAGGGCCCGAAAGGTAGAAACAGCAGAATCCCAGGGGATTGCTGTCCAGTTGGTCTAGCTAAATCAGTGAAATCTGAGTTCAATGAGAAACACTATTTAAAAAAATAAGGTCAATAGTGACTAAGGAGGGCAACCAACATCAACTTCTGTCCTCCACACACATATGTACACTCCCTCATATGTGCACACACATGAACATGTACACACATACAACTCATACAATGGGACTGAGAGATAGAATGCTTAGTATGTTTAAGTTCCTGGGTTTGACTCACAGCATGAAAAAAGGAAAGAAAAACACATCTACCATTTTCTTCCCCTCTCATAACTCTTCTCTCTCCTTCTGAGGTTTTACCTCCCAGGATCCTTTGCTGGTTATTCAAAGACCCAACAGGCCTCTGTCTCTCTTCACTATAACAGGCCATGGCTTTGTGGAAGGACTCATGACCATAGCCCTTGTCATCACTGCCACCCAGACGACTGTGGGTGGTCCCTCTGGGAAGCTGTGGCGTTCTGGCAGTGGGACTTCCCAGAACATCATCCCTGTACCCACTGGCACTGCCAAGAATGTGGGCAAGGTCATCCAAGAGCTGAAGGAGATGCTCACTGCCATGGCCTTTCATGTTCCTACCCTCAGTGTGTCTGTTGAGAATCTGACATGCCACATGGAGGAAGCTGCCAGGTACGACGACGTAAAGAAGGTGGCAAAACAGGCTTTGGAGGGCTCACTAAAGGGCATCCTGGGCTACACTGAGGACCAAGTTGTCTCTTAAGTTTTTAACAATGCTGCCAACCCTTCCACCTTTGATGCTGGGGCTGGCATTGTTCTCAATGACAACTCTGTAAAGCTCATTTCCTGTTATGACAATGAATATGGCTACAGCAACAGGGTGGTGAGTGGCTTACATGGCCTCCAAGAAGTAAGAAGCCTTGGACCATCTACCCTGAAAAGAACAGTGAGGAAGAGAGAGGCCCTCAGCCTCTAAGGAGTCCCTGTCCCAACTCAGCCCTGGAACACTTGTATCTCCCTTCACAATTGCCATTCCAGCCCCACAGGAGAAGGGGAGAGGCTTAGGGAGCATTACTCTCTTGAACACTATCAATAAAGTTCATTGCACCTACCAGAATCAATAAAGTAAAATAAAACAGACCATGGAGGTAGGCAGCATATTCCTGGGAAGTTCCTTCTGCCCTCCTTCCTCCCATCCCCTCCATTCACACACCCGGCCATCTGCTCAGAGGCTGTACCAGTCTCTCTTGCCTGGTGGAGAGGGCCAGGGCCAGGGGTGGCTGAGCCAGAAGTGATTCCCATCTCAAAGTCCAGGGCTGCTTCCCAGCAAGCTCCATATGGGGGCCTGGATCAGCCTTCCTCAGAACAAAGGGGCATCTTCAGCCCAGCACGAGGGCTCCTGCCTGGAACAATTCATCACTCACCAGCCCGTTCACAGTCACAGTGCAAATGTCCTTTGAGCCAGGAAGGAACTTGTCAGCCTTCACAGGGAAGGAGGCAGCATGCCATAGGAGTTAAGTGGGAGGGTATAGAGTTCAGGTTGCCCAGGCTGCAGCCTGGCTCTTCTGCCTCCCAGAATGTCACTACTGAATCCCACCCTCCTCCAGGCCAGATTTCTCATCTCCAAAGGGGGAATGTTAGTGAATGTCTTCCTCAGTTGTGACAGTTCAGTGGAATAAGTTACATAAAGCATTTTGGGTGCTCAGCGTGCAGCAAGTACTAAATAAATGCTGGCTAGCATTATTACCAAGTCAAAGCAGCGGTTTTAAGGAACAGCTGCTTCCCTGAAGTACAGAGATTTAGGATGTAGAACACTGTTCACTCAACTCTTGCCATTTCTCAAGAGGAGTGTCTTTCTTTCTTTCTTTCTTTCTTTCTTTCTTTCTTTCTTTCTTTCTTTTTTTCCTCCCTCCCTTCCTTCCTTTTTCTCCTCTTCCTCCAATAAGCCTCCTCTCTTTCCTTCTTCATTTTTTTTCTTTTTTTTTTTTTTTGTGACAGGGTTTCTCTGTCCTGGAACTCAGAGATCCATCTGTCTCTGGCTTCTGAGTGCTGGGATTAAAGGCATACACCACCACTACCTGGCAAACTCTTCTCTTTTTAACATTTATTTATTGTTTGTTTGTGTATGTGCTCAAGTGGGGCATGCATGGGGGGTGGGGAGCAGAGGTCAACCTCAGGTATCTTCCTCAGCAACAGTGTCCCCCTTGTTTTTTGAGACAGGGTCCCTCATTGGCTCCTAGGACTTGCCAATTCAGCTGAGGTGGCTGGACAGTGAGCTTCAGGGATCCTCCTGTCTCCACTTCCCAACACTAGAATGTAGAATGCTACTCCCACACTCGGGTTTTTACAAGGTCTCTGGGGACCAAACTCAGGCCCTCATGCTTATGCAGCAAGTACTTCCCAACTCAACTGTTTCCCCAGCAGCACCTACCATATGTTTTTGTTGTTGTTGTTTTGTTTTTAAAGGAATTGTTGACAGGTTTGAGATGTCTATTACTGGCATCGTGAAATCTTATCCTACTCCAAATGTTTCCAAAAATTAACCTATAACTAAAAACTTCATGTTGTTAAAATGAGTCTTCAAAAATCTAAAGTGCCCTCACAAAATAAGGCAAGTTTCTCTATGTTTAAACACCAGAGCACATACAATGGACCAGGATGCTTGTGGTATGGCATGCGGGTGTAAAGGATGCCCATGGTACAGCACATATGTGAAAACCATGATAAGCAGAATGAAGACATGGATGAGGCCCTGCCTCCAGCCTATGAATCTTTGAGTACATTCTTGTCAGTTCACATTCCAGTCACTAAAAAGAGCACACGACATAACTTTGCCATGCAAGTCACCACTGTGCCACCTATCAACTGATCCAAGCTAGAAAATTTGTTCTTCTGAGCTTCACAAAATGGGCCTCTTCCACATTCTCATGATATTGACTGACCCCAGTCACCACTCTGGTTAATGTAAAAGGAAAAAAGGGACATTTACTTACTTGCAGCCTGGATACGAGCCTTCCGACTGACCAGCAGCCCAAAGCGGTTCTGAGCCACACATTCATAGTCACCCTCGTCTGAAGGGCCACCTCCCTGCTCCAGCCTGAAGTGGTGGATCAGCAAGGACCCATTGGCCAGCAGCGTGGAGTGGGTGCCCTCAGGCATCTCTGCTCCGTTCTTCCTCCAGGAGACTTGCACTGGAGGGGTCCCCTCTACTTTGCAGCCCAGCACTATGGGCTGTCCAGGGACAGCAATATCGTCATTTGGCTCCACAGCAAATGCCAGTTCAGCAGAGTGGCCCAGACCTGCATCGGGAAGGAAAGGAGGTGTTAGCACGGAATGTACATATAGCCAGGAAGGATTCCATACAGAGAGATTTCAAGTTCCATGGTTCTGTGTACCCATCACAACCCTTTGGTGCATCTGTAGACTTAATAGGAATTCCTATTAAACACAGAACTACTATGTCTTACAGAATGCCATCCTGTGCAGTATTTTACTTAACTCCAACCACAGCAGAAAAGTGAATGCCATTTGTACCACTCCTTTCATAGATAAGAAAACTGAAACTTGGAGATGTTAGGTGACTTGCCCAGGGTCTCACAATTGGAATTGGTCATTACAAATCTGAGTCTTGGAGGGCTGGAGAGATGGCGCAGTGACTAAAAGCACTGGCTTCTCTTCCAGAGGACTCAGATTTGATTTCCTTCACCCACATGAGGACACAACAGCCATCTGCATCCAGTCCTGGGGTTCTAATGCCCTCTTCTGGCCTCCATGTGAACCAAGTACCAAAGAGATGCACAGACATGCATGCAAGCAAAACACCCCCACATATAAAATAAACTAAAATTTAAAAAAAATCAGAGTCTCAGCTGGGCAGTGATGGTAGCCCTTGCCTTTAATCCCAGCACTCAGAAGGCAGAGGCAGGCACATCTCTGAGTTTGAGGCCAGCCTGGCCTATAAAGTGAGTTCCATGTCAGTCAGGGCTACACACAGAAACCCTGCCTCAAAACACCAAACCAAACCTAAAAAGTGATGTGAGATAGTAATAAATCAGGTTTCCATTTGCTGGCAAACTGTCAGAGACCTGGTCCAATGCCTGGTTGGGAGCAGCAGGTATGAGCCCAGCACTCAGGGTACAGGCTAGGCTGTGTATGGCCTATGTTGTACCTCTTACTCCAGGCTCTGGGTGTTGGTCCTTTGACTTTTGTTACGTGGAGAAATTGGAAATAGTAAACATTAATTTAGATTTCCTAAATTTAGCAGGATGTGTGTGTGTGTGTGTGTGTGTGTGTGTGTGTGTGTGTGTGATGGTGTCCAGGAGTGAATCAGGGACCAGGTAAGAGAAATAAGCACTAATATCCCACGGGTGACAGCCAGTCTCTCCAGCAAGCAATTTACCAGATCGGTTATGACTTCCCTTCAAGAAGAATGAGTCCTCCTCGTCTAAAAGGTCAGACACAGAGTCCCCTCCTCACATGTTTGGGGCCTTGTGATCCTGGACCTTGGGTTCTCCCTCATAGACCCAAGTCCTTCACTGCTGAGCCGGCCCTAGTGGGTAAGGGCGGGGGTGGGGTGGGGTGGGGAAGTGCAGATGGTTTGTCTAGGCATTGCCTCCATTCTAGGATAAGGACAGTTTAAGACATTTGACGCTTGCACTCGTTCAGATCCCTCGAATCCTCCACACACCCTAAGTTTGAGCCACTTCCACCTCCACCTCCAAGCCAGCCCCGGCTGAAGCCATAGGGGATAAAGTTTCTCCTGGGTGCAGATGCAATATTTTGGTTTTTGAGAAAGAAAAGAGAGTAGTTCAAATGTGTGTCTGCAAATGATTTGAGAAAGAGGAGGACCTAGATCCACACCCTTTTGGGGGTGAAATGAATTTTTTTCAGCCACCGAGGAAGCTACGGGTGGCCCCTCAAACCAAGGACAGAGACTCCTAGAGAGCTCCCTCGGGGAAGGGCGGGGCACTGGGCAGGCACTTGCCCTAGACGACATCGCCTCTCCTCAGGCTCTTGGCAGGGTCGCCCTCTCAACCCACCGGGAATCTTTCTTCCCCTTTCCTAGTATACCCCCGGACCCAGTCCCAGCTCTAATCACTGCTGGGGGGTGGGGTGGGAATGATGTCTTCTCAGCTCCGTGCAGGCGCGCCCCCATCCCCGGATCCCGATCTGTCGCTTCCAGCTTCAGTCGCCTTGGGCTACTCAGAGTCCCCCAGCCCAGCTCTGCGCACCCTAGCTCGCCCTCCTTGGTTGTGACTCGTCCGCTCATTTTCCTGTGGCTTGTTTCCTATGGTCCCCAACGCCAGCCTGCCTCCCCAACTCCCGCTTTGCCGCGCTCCTAGCTCCTCCGTCCAAAATCAGGGTCCAGCCCCGAACTTAACCCTAGTCCCCAAGACCCGGGGAACTGATCCCCGACCCCTCTCCCGGGATTCTGCCCCCCTCAGTCTTTCCAACCACAGGTAGCCTTGCCAGAGTGGCTCTCCCTGTGCCCGCAGAGCGCTGTCCCGCCAGGTCTCTCCAGCACGCGCTCCTAGCGCAGGTCCGCGCG